ATCATTATACACATTCATTTCATCATGCGCGCGCAAATAATATCAATCTCCGAGCCTTAGTATTAAATATAACAAAAAAATAGATAAAAGATAATTTAATAATAAAGTATCAGTAAAATTGTTGGATTTTTACTAATATATATTTTTTACTTCCAATGTTTTGAAAAATTATATTGTGATTAAAATCTCCCATGATTATTTATTATTCTCTTTTTACAAATAATATAAATTTTAAAATGTAAGTAAAAATGTGTTATTCAATAAATGGCGCTGACATAAAATTTGACAATTCGAAGAATTTGACAAAATTATGTAATGAAAATTGATATTCTGCACTGGAAATTAGGTGCTAAATGTCACGAATATGCAATCATTTCGTTTTCAAATTTTTACAATTCGATAGTTTAATATTAAAATAAAGAGATAATCTACCGAAAAGAAGATAATCATGTTTATTGATACTTTATATTAAAAAATAAATAAATTCTTAAATTGCAACGCGTAAATGTGATTATCTCCTTTTCGATTTATATTTTAATATTAAATTATATTATACCAAAGAAGATTTGAAAACAAAATGATTACGAATGTGTGAGGTTTAGCACCGATTTTTCGGTGCACACATACTCGAACATCAGTTTTTTGACGGTGATGATGGTAACAACTACTATAGCATAACATGGCAGAAGAATTTATGTTCCAGTCGGCGCCGTAGAACTATATACGCAACGAAATTGAGCAACCAACCGGATTAGAACGGTCCTCAAGTTAAGAAGTCGTACATTGAATTTTCCTCCCTCTCTCTCTTCCACCTTACTGTCGTAGTTGCTCGCCTCGATAAAGCGACTCCTCTTTGAGACGGTGAATCTCTTCGAAGAAGCGTGACCGAAGTAAACTCGAACAATTGGGTCGCCAAAATTTAATGTACAGGCAATTGATCGAACAGCGTACGGAGTTAATTGCATTTTCCAGCACTATATCGCCGTAAACTTCATATTGACGTTATTATTTATTACTCATTTTTATGTTTTACAGACATTAAGATTGTTAAATTAGTATTAATATATTGTAATATATTTTTCAAAAAATAAAATTACTTTTTCATTGCTTTTTATCATTGCTTTTTTCATTGCTTTTCATTGCATAGTCACTTTTTATAATAATAATTTGATAATGATGTTGCAATTTTTTATGACTCTAATGATGACTAATTAAACGCTAAGGTTAGTAACTGGTTACGCGTTACTTATTGTAAAAAAGTGATAAGTTACGAGGAACGCGCCGTAAAATTACTTTGTTACAAGTTACATTAAAAAGTAATGAGTTATAAAAATTATGAATTATTTTTTTCAATAACAAATGACTTTACCAGCTCATTATAAGTAACTACTGACTGTTTCATCTCTGGTGTTACATTATTATCATAAAAAATTTGCAACATTATTACCCCTATAATTGTTATTACAATAATAATAAAGTAACTAAGTAACTAGCAATAAAAATAACGGCAACTAATTACTTCCATTCCCTGCATTATTTACATACATGTCATATAAACTGAAATGTTTATTATTGGCTTTGTATAATATAGAGTCAGACAAAGAGAATATACGAAAAAGAACTTTACTATAGAATATAAATTTTGCTGTTTATTTGTCTTATTTTATCATCTTTAAATAAATTGCAAAGCAATATAATCGTAGCAATATTAAATAATTCTTTTACTATTTTTATCTTTGTCAAGAAATTAAACAAAACATATCAAAGGCAGAATTACGCCGTTTTAAATTTAGCATTATTCAGAAATTGCTTGTAATTTTCGGTATTTTATCGGGATAATGCATATAGAATAATAAGCGAACTTTGATATTTGAGAAAATCTTGAAAATGGTTCTAATTTTCATAAGCTGATACGTGGCTTCGCATTGAATTAAACCAAAATAATATAATACAAAAATGCTGTATATAATTTGTCAATGAAATGTACAGATTAAATTTTTGCAAATTTCCATTTCTTTTATGAACAACTAGATTTTTATATAAAAGCACTATACAGCGTAATTCCAGTCTATAGATATAACCTCGAATAAATATAAACTTGAATTCACCACACACATATAGTTATATAAATGCATGTTAATGTTCGATCGAGGGCATGAACAAAATATTTTTATTGTGTCGTTACGGATCGATATTGTTTGTAAAAACTTATAGTACAGCCATTATGTAATACATTGTTTACTGTAAAAAAAATATATAAAATATAAATTTAAAATTTTGAATATTTTGAAATTAATCTAGAGAGAGAGAGAGAGAGAGAGAGAGGGACTATATATTATGCCGTGAAGGGATTGCTGCTTAAATTTGGACCATAATAGTTTTAGTTGATCACACATGCGCAGAATGCAGATTGATTGGGAAAGATGAAAAGGATATTTCAACGTCATATGTTTCAACATCATTTCCGTGTAATGCCTAGAACATCAATCCTGATGTATTGTCAGTTATAATACATGATAAATTTTGCAAATAACATTCTAGTGTTTTCGCATATGTATGTAAGACATACATAAAACAGCATGAGATATGAGCTGTCAACATGTTGTATGCACAACTGGAGCTTATACAAGACGATAAACAGACTTTCGAAATAGAGTCTGACAAGCTTTTCGTAATTTATTCCATACTCTGTTTCGTAAAATCGCCAGACCGGACATTAAACCAGATTCAGATATTTCGAGGTGTTACGTTCATATTATCAACGCGCTATCATGATGATAAATATATTTTCTACGTTCCTATGTATATGTACTTTATTTATACATGGAGAGAATAATTTTATTAAAATATACGTATAAAAATTTAAGGAACTTAAGCCTGATGATTAATATTGTGAAAAGTTTTGACATTCTAATAACCACAGATTGAATGTCTTAAATTAAATAATTATTTTGATAATCTAATAAAATTATTATTTTCACATCTGTGTAAAAATCTAGTAAAATTTTTTAATATTTAAACCTATCCTTTTTTTAATAATAATTTCATAAAATTAGCACTAGTTACCGATATCAAAAATATATCACTTATTACATAAAGATATTGATTATGCATATCTTGTTATTTCAATTGACCAATAAAAACAAAAAACGATATCAGTGTTTGTCATTATAAAAATAACGAAGCATACTACACACCAGAATAATGTATAGTAACTCATTATCTTATATACACGTCAACGAGTGTATTTGAATATTGATACATAATTAAATAAATGCATACGTTTAAATATTTTTACATATAAAATTGTCCCTTTTGAAAACTGATTAATTATAAAAATGTTTCTAATTGGTTTTTAATTTCGTTCTCTTTTTCACCTCGTTTGCAATTGTGTCGCAATTTGTTAAACATCGTTATCCTATTTAAAGTAATTTTTTCATTTTCGTAAAAACTATACAACCAATCTTGTAAAAGCGTAATATATATAGTAATTGCAATTCTTGTTATTGCAGGGTCGCGTTGTTTGCATAACGGCCGCGAGATCTATTGATGTTTTGGTAATCATAGTCGGTCGTCAACATCGACTAATTACTAATTGTAATTACTAATAACTCATTTGGCGGCCCACAAAAGGCCAATTTGCGATTGTACCGCGCACGAGATCCATTACAGTGTTCTAGTCTAAACACGCCTCGTTTCGATTATCGATCTTCGGGACGTTTCGGGAGGGATGTGACTGATTGTTAGATCGCTGCCAATTTCCTCGTCATCTGCTCGTCACAGAATTGCGCAGCGGAATACACATCGGGTGACGGACGACATTCCTGCAAGAGCTATCGTGACCGCGTACCCGCAGTACGGAGCGATAATTTGTTTCGATAACTCGAGATATTATGTGATTGAATAACCGGCTTTATCGGGCGGAACTAGCCGAAGCGAAGCGTACCGGTATATCGTCGTTGATATGCTGTGTCGTGACTGGAGCGTTGTATGAATTCGCCAGTAGTACAGAGTATCTACGATTGCTGGAATTAATATTCCGGTTATATCATTTAAAGCACGCGGGATACGATGACAATTTGTAACTATTGTCCTACCAGTTGTTATTGCTTTACGAGCGTTACGCTCTTACAAATGACCGAATGCCGATTGTGGCCATTGTAGAATATTGACCGCTGTCGGGAACTGCTGTCCGCTTGTACTGCTCTGAAACTTCATTGTACAACGGTAACTGCGCAATATTATCTTCGTTGAAATACTAGTTCATTGAAAAGGCAGTTTGTAGGGAAGTAATAACATAGAATTATTTATTAAATTATTTCCCCGTGAGAGATGTAGTTGGTATTGTTTTTCAGGACGCCGCTTTGGATGGTAGCAACGGCGATCCTAAATTCGACGATCGCAAGAGTTCTCAATTTTATCAAGAGGGCAAGTGACGGAGTCAAATAAACTGATAGATTTTTATGTAATATGGATCAACGACCAGGGAACTCGATTAAAACGCCAATTGGTGATATAAACGTTCGTACATATTTTATGTAGATTTCATTTCTGCAGGAATTTAATTTTTGTTATTTGGAACACATGACCGTAGAATTTTATATATAGGACAAGAGAGAGAAAGGGAGAGAGAGAGAAATATAAATAATAGATTTAATTACAATAAACGATCTTACTATTACAGATTAATATTGAAATATTTAAATTTACTTTATGAAGATGCCACATCATTACGTTGTTATCATATTATATTAAATTTAAATTAAGAGATAATAAATTCAATGCTGCTTTGCGTATTGTGTACACATACATACATGTTTAATTTCACGAAAATTAGCTCGGATGTTACAAACCAGAAATTATTACGAAATGATTTACTATCGAATTTAACTCCACGCTGTGAGAAGCAATATCATTAACAACACTTCTTTTATTTATTGCGCATCAACATCAAGCGGAAAGAAAAACGTATAACAAAAATAAACTGCAGTGAATCTCACCTGCCACGTTTTTGCAATTGCAACGTCGTACGTCGGCGGTGGCGACGTCATAGACGGAATTACGGAATAAACAGGTTGCGATCTGCTCTGCGAATTTGGTCGACTCCCAGTTTCATTGATACTCGCATTTGGTGTATCCGGTATGGTGGCGTACAGCGCTTCCGGTATGGTGTTCTCACGAATCCCACCACCGAGGATACTTGAGCCCGAATCTACGTAATGCCAAAAACAAAGAAATACAACATCCTTTCTATCTTTTTCTCTATTTTTAGTGAATTTTTATCTATATATACTTTACAATCTCATCTATACTTGAATATCAAAGGAATACAATAGTATAATTCAATTAATCAAACTTATTTTATATATATATATATATAAAGTTTGATTAATTTTACCAATGTGCATGGTAAAAATCTTTAAAATATTATATTATATCACAACACTACCATGTTTTCAGAGGGTAGACTTTAAGAAAAATCCTTTCCGTGTATGATAATATTAACGAAGTTTAAACTTAATATGCAAATTGACTGACCGATATAAGTATAATGCGATTCGGTTCTGTCGGCACTTCGAGTCCTCCGCGAGTGAGTGAGCCGCTTCTCGTGCTTGCTGCTCTTCATCGTGGATCTCGTGGACTCAGTCACTGTGCTGCTGCTTCCGATCTCATTCGACGTTCGAGTCTTCGGTACTTGCCCTTCTTCGAATTGTTTCCGCGAACTCTTGCCCTCTGACTTGTTACCCTTCGTCTTGGGTAAAAGGATGGCAAACTTTCCCTGGCATTTCGGCAGACCCACGACTACGCCACAGGCACACACGTTCTCGTTAGGCATCCTAGAAAAATTCACAGACAACAATTTAAGAAATTTATTCAGAATAGCAAAAATTAGAAGCAATTTACTGTTATGAACCAGGCTGCTCAGATGAGTTGTAATTTAATGTTCGAACAAGAATAATATTCTACAAGGAAATATCAAAATATGTCAGAATGAAATTTATGAAACATCTTGTGAAGTATTTATTTCTCGAAGATTTTAATGCTTCGAAGAATTGAATCGTGTGAAAAGTTTACACGGTTCAAATAATATATGTCATTGGGACTTAATGATACTGAGATTTGTAACAGTCCCTTGCAATCCATTACAGTTGGCGCGCACTACAATCTGCCAAACAACGTTATCGACCTCGTGTGCTGCGCGCCATTATTAACGACCCTATAATAGCTCTTAATTGGAATCAGTTCGTAACGTTTATTCGCTATAGCGTCCCGCTCAGCATCGGTTCTCGCGTGACAAACGCGATTACGCTAGCTCGGGACGTACTCGCCGAGAAAAAAGAGCGTGGCGAAACTTTTAACAGGCTCTATTCACTCGCCAGATTCGATTGACAAATTGAATTGTAAAAAATTCCGATGGGTAGCCCTTTGATTCGTAGAATGTATGCAGTTAGTTACATCGAGATTATCATACATCGGAAGAGGAAAGAAGTATTGTAATTAAGAATCGGAAAATCCTGCGATTGGTCTCATCTTCGGAACGCGGTTGTCGCTGCATCCTAAAGAGTCAAAGAAGCATACCTATCATATTCTTTATGCGAATTTACTTGAGTCACTCTGTGCGCAGAATCTTTAATATCGCGATCCAATTCGAACTTTTCGGAATAAATCATCGGTTTGTCAAATTTCGATAAGAATCAGAGTGGAGACTTCTATGCCTCGAGAAAGAGAAAGAGATAGAAAGAGGATGAAAGTATATATAAAGTCGTCCTGACTTTTACCGAGATGGAAAAAGTGAGGGAGGTTCCTTAATTCCCGAGAAAATCTTATTCTCCTCACATTTGGAAAGTCACTTTTGAAAGAACGAAGTCAAGCCAGTTCGCGTCGGATCGCACAATCCCGTTTTATATCGTCGAAATGAACAATGTGTCTCTCAGTATCATCGTCGGATTTCGTCCTCGAGCACTCTTATCCTCTCAAGATTAAAAGGACCGTCGCCTTCACCTTTATTATCCTTCCGTCGTTTCTTAACTAAACCACTTTTATCGGAGTACTCGATTTAATCCTGTACTTTTACACAGAACTATCATCGGTATCACTTTAAAAAAAGGACAAATGAAATATTTTCTATAACGTACTCTAGTAGTTTAGTAATACTTATACCAGGAGATTTATAAAAGTTCAAATAAAAATGGAATGGAAAAAGGTATATTACTATAAGACTGCAACGAATGAAACGGAGAGTGTCGAAACAGAGAGAAATCCATTTGGGATTAATGATAATCTCATTAGGGTTATTTTGTATAATATGACAAGTCATAGGCAGGCACGATGCGATAATAGACTTGCTTTGACATTCGTGGCGCGTGCAAACATCCGGAGAATGTGTTCGCGCCTCTGGCAAAGTGACGCCCCGAGATAATTTCGGGTTTCGCCCGGTAGGTAGGGAGGGTCGAGCACGAGGCCAGGGCAGGGGAATCGCTACATGGAAATTGAATTACGTGCCCTGCTGCGAAATGAGCTGCCAGGGACGTTGGTTAGTTTCGACGACAAACTGCTAGCTACAGTACGCAGACCTGCCCATTACTCATCCCGTTGCTGAGACTCACCGCACAACTTCTTCCGTGCCTGACTTCAGACATATACGGAGCTTGTTCCTGAAAGATACCACTTATACGCCAAGACAACTTTGCAGGATAAACCAAGAATACAGAAAGAGAGAGTATTTGTCCATGTGGGGTTAACTTTTCTTTATCAAACGGATCGACTAACAGATAGTTTTCTAAAGTATAATCACAGTTTACGAGCGTCTCTTTAGCTGAGTAAAAGTTTCATGAATACCGATAAAGCCTGAGATATTTCCAAGCACGTAACGCGACGTGCTGCTCTATTGTGAGTCGCGTGGGCAATTTCGTGATGGGATATTTTTCCGCGTATACGGCTACAGATGATAAACGCTACGTTATTGGACTTACGATTCTGGAAAATTTATGGGCATCCCGCATTTTTCTCTATTTATATGTACAAATATAAAATCTTGCTTGTAAGTATGTTTTATATTGGACAATAAAATACAGAATAATTCTTAATAAGCACATATTGCGTCCTACATGTTCAATAAAGAATCATTAATCGACGAATGAGATTTTCGCGTTGTGAATGCGAGAAATAGAAGTGGAACGAGTCGATATTTATAATTAAAATCTTTGTCGAAAACATCAGCAAATGTAATCAAATATATCATCGCCAGACGTATCTCCTATCTGCTACGAAGCAATATAACGTTTAATTACAAAGATCCAAGAGTTGCCCTAGTTATAATTAACGTTGCCGACATCTTCGATGTGGCTATGGGAATGACTCTTCCTAGCGGCAGTTATCGGATTGCATCGTTATCGGCAGAGACGAGAAATGGGCTTTCGAGCGATAATTATTACAATGCCGAGGCATACAACTCGCGTTCGAAACGGACAGCTGCGACTATACGGAAGGGTTAGAAAGATGAATTTTCCCTTTCTTCGCAGTAATATCAAACAAGAGGAAATTCCGCAAATTAGAAATGTAATGTGGGATCACTTGATCTTTGCAAAATACAAATTCTCGCGCTTAATGTTCAAAGTGAGCAAATATACGGTACAAAAAGAAACACGTACAAAAGAGAGAAACGAAAGTAATGCAATTTGAGAAGCGAATAGCCTTCTTGATGATTGAAAAAACGGAACTAATAAAATGGTGAAATATAAATCGAAGGGCATAATAATCATTTTTTGTTAAATTGGGCGTATCTCACGCTGAGCGTCGCACGAATTATACGAATTCTTTTCTACGGATGTTGTTAATGAAACCTTGTACTGTGATCTGTAGGAAAATATTTACGATTTATTGCAATACAGACGCAATACCTGTTTTGGTTACCGTCTGACATCGTGGTAAAGGTGCGCGATGAGAACAGATAAGGTAATGAGAAACCGCTCGGTTCTCTCTTTGGAATTCCAATCCTGTGAGATTCGCCTTATCTACCCGTGGAAATTCTCGCGATTCCACAAAATGTATACAGGAATCAGCGCAAGGCAACCTCTCCCTTTGATCCGCGCAAGGATTAATTTGTTACGGTAGAGAGGAAGGAAAATAACACGCAGTGCTAGCAACGTCGACGTTAATTAATTTTGTCGAGCATCTTCCACAGGACCTTTCATTTTTCGTGCCCGCTCGCGTAGTCCGCCTAGCGTTATTGCTCAACTATTAGCCCATCCGTTAAAAAAACGCGATTAAATTGTTCAAATATTTGCGATATCCATAAATACTTGCGCGCGCAAATAACAATTTTACGAAGAATTACAACTATCTTACGACTATGGAACATTTGAATTGTTATATTCATGTTCAGTTCATTGTTATGCTCATAGTTTAGTTTATTGCTTGTATTCACACGTTCACTGAATAATTTATCTTTACGCGGTAAATTTCTCTCGCCTTACTCATTATACGGAAAGAGAGAGAAAAATAGAAAGAAAGGGAGAAAGAGAGAGAGACATAGTCGCAGTAAAATATTCATAAATAGATTACGCGTTTTTGTTCCAACATTTTGTGCCTTTGGTACCAACGGATATCTCTGTAATTGCGCTCTCGAGCACTACGCAAACAAGAAATATATCTATCGTAGAAGAAGCCTGCGCACAGTTCATGAATCTCCCATGATATTCCGTTAATACTCACATGAACGGTTGAAAGAATCGCGTGTCATGTTAATTAAAGTCCGCGATGTAGTCTCTGGTGTTCTCGATGATGAGAGTCGCGTTCAGTTCGTAATTAATTCGCGAGTACAGAGGCCGGAATTTGCCAAAGAAAAATTAGTGCACGAATCTTCTCGCTCTTCGCATTAATGAACGCTCGGCACTTGTCTCGCATGCCGATAATTAATACCGAACGAGTCACACCTGTGAAATTGAAAATAAGCGCGATTTTCCCTTTTATTTTTTCTCTCTCTCTTCCTGTTTTTTCTTATCATTTATATTAAACACAACGATGAAGATTTTTTTTCTTTCCGCGTTATACATTTCCCTTAACGCATTGTCCCCATTGTATCGCAGAATTTATGGTCCTAACCACTCCACGGAGAACTCGACATGTTTCCGCGTTTCTTGCTTTTCTTCCTGCCAACGTTTGCTCTAATATGTATACAATTCACGTTGCCTAAACATGGGAAACATATCCACGTAACGACCATGTATTGTTGTTCTCATGACTTCGCTCGCGATCGATGTGCGAATCTCGATATTCTCGATGTGCGCATTCGAAACGTCTCGGAATTCTGTCAACGGCGTGTCAGGGACTGCTAATGAGATTGAACGTTGCCCCGGCAAAAAGCCAGAGGGGAGTAAAATGGGTGGGATTTGCGGTATCCGGTCTCGACGTGGCGCGGTTGAATTTGACGTCGTCGAACGAGAGGGTGTAGGTGCCCATTATTTACTATTCCCCATCGCAAATATTTTGAATACTTGAGCTAAAAGAATCAATAACCTGCTCGTACATCAGCATCTAAATTGCAAAACGATGCAACAGACCGGGAATGCGTTACCAAAATATTCATCCGGATTGTTCGACGAGGCGATGCGCGACGCGATACGCGCGGGTGAATTGGGTCATCGTGAAATATAACATTTTTACGAGGATGTACGATGTGCATATATTCGAAAGGAGTTGCCAGATCCCGTCCCAATGCGCCACTACTGGGCTACTAATACGATTATGCATTCGCTTGCGGCCATAGTCGCGAAACAGAGCGTTCCGCGTTCGCTTGCAGACGAAAATGCGTACTATACGTTTTATCTTCCTTTTT